TATATATATATTCTTATATATATTTTATATGTTATTATATAATATTATACAGTGTGATTTACAAACTCTTGCCACCTAAATAGCTCTGAAAGTATGATAGTAACAAAAAAGTTTAGTATAAAAAGTTTCATGTGGAAAATTCAGGACTATAATATGAAATTAGTTTTTTCTTGTTAGGTTCAGTATTTTTCAAGATTTTTAGGTCAATCTTGTTTTTTTAAATACAATGCTATTATTTTAATTATTATCTTCTGATAGCAATTGTCAAGACGAATCCAATAATGTGCAATATTAAATACAAAACCTGACATAAAAAACAAACATATCTGTTCCATCTTTTGTCTCGACAACTAAAGGATGACACAACTCTGATACGACCATGACGTGGAGCTATATTGTGGCCAGATTGTTCGCCAGACTTTATCTTTGTTGGGTTTCAAACATATTAATGTTGCATATCATTGGATTCGTTTTGACAGTCGCTATTAGAAAATAAGTATTAATATATAGCATTGTATTTAAAAAAACAAAATTGACCTATAAATACTGAACCTAGAAAACAAAACTTACGTCATATTATAGTCCTGAATTTTTCACACAACTCTTTCTTAATAAACTTTTCTGCTATTATCATACTTTCGGAGCTATTTAGGTGGCAAGAGTTTATGAATCACCCTGTATATATATATATATACATGTTACAGACCAAAAGTTTAAAATTATTTGTTAATTTCCGTAAAAATAAAGTATGAACTCATCAATTTTGAAATGATCTGTTGTCTTTATGTCAAATATTAACAAGTAGAATTATGTCAAAGATTTTATAAATGGTACTTTTCTTTAATTTGAAGAAATCATAAGTTTTTTTTCTACAAGTGAATCTACTCCAATTACTCTAAAAGCATTCATTTTTTTTTATAAATATTCTTTTTCTCTGAATCTACGTTATGGTTCGAAACTTTTAGCCAATAGTGCATATTATTCATATATATATGACAAATCTAGGTAGTTTGTTATTCACTTAAAAAAACAACAAGGACCTACTGGCCAACCTAATATACCAACCTTAATATATATTGAGCCTTAACATTAGTTTTTTATGTTCTTTGCTTGTATTTAATTTCTTTAATGCAATTTTTATTACCTTACATCTGTTCTTACAATCATTTCCCTAGAAAAAGCTTCTTTTTACAGGAAAATTCATTATCAATTGATAAACAAGTAAAAAAGATTGGGAACTACTCCTTTAAAGTAATATTTGTTAAAAAATGAATGAAAAATACGAACTTGTAAATCTTCGCTTTCTGTATGTCTAAGTTTCTCTAAATATTCATCGAGGCCTAACTTTGTGAATTCATACTGCAAGTGTACTCGAAAGTTCATGTCTTCCACAGAATGAACTACTATATTCACGAACTGCATGCAGGCGACCATGAATTCTATATGGAAACTATCGTACTGCGTAAAATAAGTCATGAGCGTAGTAAATCTTCGCCTTTCCATACAAACTTCTTTAAAATTATCGAACGCCGATAAAATAATTTCATGACCACCTTTCACTAAACAAATCGCCGCAAGAAGTTCCAAGACCAAAGCTTTTGTCCTGCAAATATAAATAAAATATTATCTTTATAATCTAATTATAACACAACCTTTGATAAAATCATATGTATAAAACTATGGTATCTATCAATTGATTTGGGATTACTTTTTAAATTTACCTTAAACTTTTGTGCATTAAACTAAGTGCGATACAATTAATTGCTTCTCTGTGTTGTATGACCATATTGAAACCATACTGCAAAAGTATCATATATAAATGACAAATACTTCAATATTTATATTCAGATTAAATTGATAGGTAATACCTTGTTATTCATAATGGCACGCATACAAAGTATGCAAACATGAATATCATCTTTAGCTTCGCCCATATTTAAACGAGCAACATGTCTAGATCTGCGTTTTACACTTGGACTGTCTTTAAGTTCGTGAAGAGATGGTCTTAAACATCCATTGTTTAAATGAGAAGAACCGCCTGTTTCAACTATAAGTTACAAATCAAAAATTATATTTTATTCATTAAAATTGTTATTTTTTATATTTCATTTATAACAATAATTATGCAAAATTCTTCCTGCATATTGAAATGCAGTTTCACTAGTTACTACTAGTTACTGTATATAGTACATTATACTCCTGTATTGAAATCCTGCATTCTGTTCAATTTTTAATGGTCAAATTTCGTATATTTTACAATACATTTTTTATCATAATTTTGTAATAAAGCTTTAAATGATTTGTAACACTTTTTATTTAGATCCATAGAATATACAGTCAAAGTTTAGCCATTAACAATTTAAGCACCATATTATAGAGAAAAAATTTTTATTCTATTTTTTGAAGATATCTGAGAAACTACTGGACCTATTTAAAAAAAAAACTTTTATTAGTGTATAGTTTAAATCTTTCTCAATAATATAGGTAATGTTCTGTAACATTTAGAAGCAGAGTAGTAAAAAAGAATGTGTGTGAAACCAAAAAAGGATACATTCTTTATTCATAATCTAAAATAAAAACCGCACAACCGATTTCAATAAAACCTTAACCAGTAAATTTATAGAGTTTCAAAAGTTTTTAAGGATATGAATCATTACGCTACAACTCAAGGCAACTGAAAATTAGATAAAACAGTGAAACAACGTATAAAAATAATGAATATATGATAACGCGATTTTTGGAAAATCCTGACGTTACAAATATACATTTGGTTACCCGAAAAGCTCGTATCGATATTTATAATATACAGGGTGATTCATAAACTCTTGCCACCTAAATAGCTCCGAAAGTATGATAATAGCAGAAAAGTTTATTAAGAAAGAGTTGTGTGAAAAATTCAGGACTATAATGTGACGTAAGTTTTTTTTTCTAGGTTCAGTATTTATAGGTCAATTTTGTTTTTTTAAATACAATGCTATATTTTAATACTTATATTCTAATAGCGACTGTCAAGACGAATCCAATAATATGCAACATTAATATGTTCGAAACTCAACAAAGATAAAGTCTGGCGAACAATCTGGCCACAATATAGCTCCACGTCATGGTCGTATCAGAGTTGTGTCATCCTTTAGTTGTTCCGACAAAGGACGGAACAGATATGTTTGTTTTTTATGTCAGGTTTTGCATTTAACCCTCTATGGGCCAAATTTTTTTTTTCAATCCAAAAAAATTAGAGAAACGAAAAATCAGCAATTATAAACATATATATGCAAATAAACCAAAAATTTTTTGTTTAAACAATTTTATTGCAGTATATTCAATGTGTGACTTTCAGGTAACAACGGCCTATAATATTCGAACTTCTGTGTATGAAAACTTAAGCGTGAAATTCTACGAAACAGTTATCACTTGACGTTACAAATAAATATATATAAATATACTTTATCTTTTAACACGTTTTTCGATAGAAGTATTGTATTTGGTCTTCTTTTTATATTCTTTATAGACGTCCCCTTTTTTTACGGATTCCTTTGTACTCCTGACGTAGACAGAATGCAATTTTAATTTTAAATGTTAATAAGTTTAATTGATTCCTGGGTCTTACAGAATGCAATGAACAGTTTTACTTATATTACAGCTAAGCATTGACCATCGATCTAAATTATCTATTTTTTCGTAAAAATTTATCCTTTTAGAATGTTCGAATCTTTTCCTCAAATAAAACTAATAAAAATGGTCAAGAATTGTTTACTGCTACGAATTCTTCAACTATTTCCAACATTCGATGGAACACAAAAGTGTGATCCTAAATATACAGAAGATTTCTTTATAGGTCAATGTTACTTCAAAGTAACAGAACTTTATCATAAAAAAAAATTTTTTAAATGATATTTAAAATGCAAAAAAATTCGTTTTTATGGATTTTCCAACTCAGAACTACTATATACAYAATTTTTTATTCGATAAATACCGATAGAAACAAAAATAATATCAATGAAAAAAAAAGGTTTCGCTTGCTTCTWCTACAGACAGTTGGTACAAAATTTATTTTGTTATTTTATGTTAATTATGCTAGTAACCGTTATGTATATGGTATTAGTTGTCTGGGAAAGATTTAAAAATTAAGATATATATGACATTTCATTAAAACAACTAAAATTGTTTAGTAAAATGCTGAAAAATGAATATGTTACTTGAAAGTTATACGGGCCCATAGAGGGCTAATATTGCACATCATTGGATTTGTCTTGACAATCGCTATCAGAAGATAATAAGTAAAATAATAGCATTGTATTTAAAAAAACAAGATTGACCTAAAAATCTCGAAAAATACTGAACCTAGCAAGAAAAAATTAATTTCATATTATAGTCTTGAATTTTTCATGCAATTCTTTTTACATAAACTTTTCTGCTACTATCATACTCTCGGAGCTATTTAGGTGACAAGAGTCTGTACATCACCCTGTATAATATATTGTTTTCCAAATTGTATTATATACAGTAAAACCTGTTTTTGTCAAAAAACTAAAACTTAAACGTAAAAACTAAAACTTCAAACATCTCGTAAACTATTGACATTTCGATGACCTTCACTAATATTTTTTAACGCAGAATAAAAAAAGCAATTGAACAGTGTAAACAAAAATATAAAGTTCCATTTAAAAAAAAAGTAAGTGCAACTGCATCTAGCGGGTGCATCAATGCATTTTCAAAAAAAGTAAGGTCATTGAAAGTTGAAATTTGTTGTGCCATTTAACTTTTTCCTCTATGATTTTTTTCTATTGTTACTTTAAAAAAAGTTATTTCCCGCCTCCGTTTTAAGAATCACCCTGTATATAAATAAAGAAAATTTCAAATGTCCTGAACAAAAAGATTAAACGAGCCATAGACGACCCTATGCAGCACAAAACGTACGTTAAAGTCCAGACAAACTATTATTTACATCGAATAAAATATTTGTAAATATGAATAAATTATTATTTATACTGAATAAAATATTCGTAAATATGAACAAATTATTTTATAAAATGCTGACACAAAAATATTCATATACCCTAACTAAAATTTATTTTGTTAAATAGTGAATGAAAATGCTTACAAATACTGACCAAATAAATGAAAGTACTTTTGTTTCATTTTATGAAAAACACACGAAGAGCAAACACCAACTAGTTTAGATATACGAAGGAACTTACTGGTCTGCAATTTTTCTTCAGAATTCGTATGAGATTCCAAAAGACGTTGCTCGTGTCGCATCATAAGTAATCTGAAGCTGAGGTAATCTATCAGCGCGTCCAGTCCTTGGTTCTCCTCGTCCAGGAATTCCCTTACCCATCTAAAACATTTCTACGATCATAATACAAATCCAGAAAGACGACGAAATAATGCACATGGATCCGTCAGGTTTGAAACGTATACGATTTAATTGGTCTGTTTTTATCATTTTTACGGCTATCATAAAAGAATAAAAAAAAATCAACTTTCAATATTTATTTTATATTAGCAATCTAACTCAGCGGTTCTCAACCTGGGATACATCGTGCGTTTGCTGTTTGAGAAGTAAGCAAAAAATTAAATAATGATGGGGAGAAAAGACCTTCTTTCCAGGTTAAAGATTATATATTTCATTAAAAAGAAAATCATGTGCCCCAAACAAACACAAAAACAAACAAAAAATAGATTGTATTGTGTGAATATTTGTTAGATTAAAGTTAACTTTACGAATATGATAGCTTTAATTTATTATATATTTATATTTTGAATTTAGAATAAAAATATATATATTAGGGTGGGTCAAAAAAATCAATTATTTTTTTTTTTACAAGTGACACGGAAAAATGGGTTGCTAGACACCTTAAAAAAATTCTCACCAAATATGAGCTCTTAATTTTAATAGGAAAATCCTCCGCATCGCAGTTTTTTATTTTTTTCTCAGTCCAATAGAATAAAATTCATACCTCATCATTAATTGATTGTACAAAAAAATGTTCTGGAAGAATTTTGTAGTTTTTGATTAGATATTCGAAAAATTTCAATTTAATTTTTATGTTTTGAAAAAATTTACACGAATTTTACTTTTTATCAACTGAGAAACTTCAAAATATTTTTCAAGTCTTTTTTTATGTGTAAGTATCTTTGTCTACATTTAAAAAAATAAATTGTACATTATTTATCGCTTAGTTAATTATTTATTAATAAAAAAAGCAAAGTTTTCATTATAAATATATTATGATATGTTTCAGTTTTAGAGAAAAAAAATGTCCAATTAGTTATAAAAAAGCTTTTTATTTCAATTTTCAACTGAGTTATTAATTTTCAAACAATTTTTTGTTGCAAGTAGGGTAATTTTTTCGATGCTCCTTAACAAAAAAGTTTGATGATGAATATCTTTTGAACGCTTAATTTAATCGCCAAAACATAAGACACCATTTTTATAGAGCAGTTAATTTCCTACA